TAGGCCTCGCCTTAACCCCCCACTGCCGGTGACTGTGCAAATTTTGTGCGTCTGTCTGCATGTTTGATTATATGTACTAAATCATCTCATTCTTTCCCTTTTTTTTTTTTTTGGAATTTTTTATTTATTTTTTGGCAAGGGTGATGCCGAGTTTATTAACTTGTTTAAAGGCAGTGGCGTTTAACCCTTTAAGGGCTTGGCGAAAGCCACCCCCGTGTGGAAGGAATGGGAGTGTTGAAAGGGCAAGAACATGAAAGAATATGTTGCAAATGGGGGGCTATTGAAGTTTAAGTTTATGCTAGGGCAAGTGAAGGGTTAAGAGTTAAAGAAGTCAACAGTTTTGCAACATTATCTTTGATAAATAAGAGTCTTTATATATTTATATTAGGTAAATTATGTTGGCAAATGTATTAACACAAAAAAATTAAATACTTATATCCTTTTTAATTAAAAAAACATATATTGATTTATTTAAATAATGTCATAAAAATATATAAATGGATGCATATAAGACGGGAATTTCTTGCAGGAGTGCGATTTGCAAGCCACCCAATTAAAGCGAGCTCATTGATTTGATCTTATCTCGATTGGCATTCACTTTCTGGACCGAAACCTCAACACAAAAAGCGTAAGCCCTCATCCAGGATAACCAGGATAACCAGGATAACCATGTGTGTGTACTTAAATGCGTATACTCGCATATATTTGCATTCAAGGGTGGAGTCAGCACACTTTGATCTTTGCCTTTGACGGCGGGCAGGCCAAAAAAGGGGTTTTAAATAAATAATCTTAAATAGGGAAAAAATCATATGCTCTCGTATGTCGGGCATTGTCTTGCGATGTTCCGTGGAAATTAATTCGAGCAGAAAATTCATTTACAACATTAGCGCGTCGCCGCCACTTTTTTTTTGTTTTGTTTTGCTCTTTCTTTCGGGGTTTTTATGACATAAATTACATCAAGCGCAAAATTTTAATATAATTTTCACTAAAAACGCAACGCCAAACTTTTTTAGTTACACGCCTTGCTCATCAAAGGAGCACGGGGAGGGGGGAGTGGGAGGGGAGTGGGGCGTAGGGGGGGGAGCAAGGCGTGTGTGAAACAGGATATCCGCTGCGGAAGCTACAAATTTTCCACTTTTCCACACAGACTGGGAAAAGAAGGGAGGTGGCACCTTCCAAAGGATGCGAGGAAATGCAGGAAGGGAAATACACAGAGAAAAAACCCATTTCTTATATATTTTTCGTTCCTCACTTTTTTAATTTAAAAACATTTATTTAGAAAAACATTTTTTATATTACCATGTCCATTAAAGCTTAAAAATGTACTTAATTTAATTTTATATAGGTTTTTTATATTTTAGATCTAAGTGAGTCTGTAAGACAAAACCACCTATTATAAGCAATAAAAACTTAGTGACATATTTTTAAGCTTTAGTTTGTAACTTTAAGCTTATAGTTTGTAAATAAATAAATAAGTTACTACTTGCAAAAAAAGTTGTTCTGATAAAATTCGTAAGTAAAACGTATAATTTTGATAAATTAATTAAATATAAAATCTTGTAAAGAAAATTGGTAATAGCCTTTCCGGGTAATATTTTCTGTCAGTGTGCCGAGAACCCAGCAGAAACTTGTCACTAATGTGCTTCTGCTTACAACGCCATTTTATATTTATTTCGTTACATCGTCTCCGGGCGGAAAGGACTCTCCACTATACTATATATTTTATACCATACTACTCAACTTCTCTCGCACATATTTGCCGAGTCCTTTTAATCATTTGGCAAACTTTCCCTGACACGCAGCCCGAGATCCCGTTAAAGGAGTCAACTACGTTTTCCGTATGCCAAAAAACTAGTCACCAACACTAACACTAGCACTAACACAAACACACACTAACGCATGTGCCGGCACAAAGTCCTTTTAGTTTTTAATGTAATTTTGAGACTTTTTCAGCTGCTGTGTCACTTTGCTCTCGAAGGGGATAGCGGGATGTAGTTCCCCGGAATTCCTCTCCAAATTCCCCCAGGGTCACAAGTTATTTCTTTAAGTGATTCACCAGGACATGGGTAACAGTTAAGCGAATGGTTTTGCACAAGAACATGTCCCAAGACCAATAAACTCCTAAATTAACCTCTTTAAGTTTGCTGATAAAATTCTAAAATATAATATAATATATCTATAATACAATATTAGAATATTTTAATGCAGTACAGGTGTGCGAAAATAATATAAATATTTTAATTCAGTATTTTAATGTAAGCAAATTAGGGTTTGTATTTTAGAAAAAATGGTGATAGTCCTGCTTTCTCAGTTTTATGGTAAGCTAAAAGTGGGCTTTAAACTCAAAAGAAAGAAACACAAAAATATATTAATATTTTAAACAGACAAAAATTAACAAATCTAAAAAATAAGCACAACACAATTAAACTAATCTAAAAAAAGGTTTTGCTAATTTTAAAATGTATTGAACATATATTTGATAAAAAATAATTTTTTTAAATCCATTAACTCCTTTTGACTCACTTAAAAGTATCCTTTTAAATCAATCAAATCTCTTTAAGTGGATTCATCTAAGAATCGTTTTTGATAAGCATCTCAGAAGTGGAAAGTCAAGTTATTTTTTGTGAGCTCATAAATGATACTGTCCTCAAAACAAGTGGTTCGTAAGCCTTTTGGCCAAAGCGAATCAAATTGAATGGAATCGAACTGAACTGAACTGAACTGAACTGAACCACCCGAAGACCTCATAAATTTCATAGCGAAATTGTTAAATTTTAATAAAATCAAAGCGTATCAAAAGCGATTTGTTCACCAGGCGACGACTGTTTCTTGTTTCTTGTTTTTTTTTTTTTTTGTGATTTCCGGGGCACAGGATACGGATACCCAACCCCCGGGACAATCGTCCTTGCCATCGTTATCCTTGTTCGCAGCCTGGTTATATCGCGTGTTTATTGTTGCAACAGTCGCGCGGGGATCTTTAAAATAATTTAAGACTTAAGGGTTGGGTTTTTGGGCTCGGATTTTCGGGCTTCTGTTGCCGTGGATTGCAGCAACCCCCGCGATGCGCATTTCCAAGTCGCTTTTCGTGACTCGTTAAAGGATTAAAATCATTTTAATGGATTTTTCAAGCTGTTGTTTTGTTGTATAATTGTCGCCTCCATTGTGTCTCGCTCTGTTTTCATAAATAGGGCACACATTCAACTGGCAACAGGGTGCCATTGACAGGACCCCATCGTCCTTCGTCCTGCGCCCTTCGCCTCATTTGTCATCATCTTTATGCTAATGGCTTGAGGTGTTAATGAAGCGGCTTTCTTGGGTTCTTGGGGCAAAGTTTTGCGCGCTACTGAGTAGGGAAGGTGGGCCAAAGAACATTAGAACTCCCAACCAAAGGTTAAAATGATTATGGATTTTAAGGTATTTTTCATTATACAGAAAGTTCGATTTTAAACTCAAGTTGGTTGCTAAATTTTTCGGCATAGGCAGACTGTTTCTTAAAAAAAATTGAATACATATTTTAAAATCTAAACCAAAGGTTATTGTTACTATAGATTTTTGATATTTTTCATTCTCCAATAACTTTTAAATATGACTGTTTTTTTAAAAATAGTTAAAATATTTAAAAGAAATGAATATTTTTTTATATACATGTAAAGAACTAAAAGCTTCTATTTTAAATTTACTTTTTTCAAATATTATACTATTTATACATAAACTGTTGTCAAATTGTTATTGCGCTTGTGCAAGCAGAGTTTTTCACATTTTACAATCTTTTTACAAAAAAATGAATAATGATAAATTAAATATAAAAAATTCGATAATATAGCCATTTAGGTAGGTAACCAAGTCAACCACATACACAAAAAAGCTCTTAATATATCCTATCATTCCTGGCCCCTTAAAACCTGAAACTGCTCACTTTTCGTACATTTTTTGTAGACCTAACCCTTAACCCCAGAATCCATAAAAGCGCAAGTCAGCTCATTAAGGACTTAGCCCAACTCAATTGACGATGAGCCCAAAAAAGAAGCTCGCGGCCATCGCGGAAGGTGGAAACCCCTTCCGAGTGGGCTCTTATCATAATGAGGGGTATATCGCCGACCTATCGGGTTATAGGCAAAGATCTCTAATTAACCCATTAGCCAATCCCCGCCTGATTTTCCAGCGTTGGCTGGCCCAAAGCCGCGGGCATCGGGATTTCGGCTTCGGTTCGTTTAACCCCTGGATAAAAGGTATATTTATTTACAGCTAATTTCGCGTGTGGCCCGCGGCCAAAATAGACAGGCAATAAGCTCACCTGGCCTTAACCCTCCCAGCCCCCGCGACGCATTAACCCCCGACTGCCCGACTGACATTGATACGTGTGGCTCGGTGTCTAACGAGCGACAAGCCCTTGAGGCCATTTCCCAAAAGCCGCTTAGTTCCCAGTTTAGCTCCGCTCAACTCACTGACACTTTGAGAAAATTCAGCAAATCCATTGATGAGAAATGCTCTTCAAGTCTATGTGAAATTTATTAAAAATTGAAGCTTAAAGTAGGTTTGAATATGCTCTGTATATATGTTTTAATCCCTAATTTTCAAATCCAAAATCAACTTTTCTAATATAATATTTTGAGTTATGTATATTTATTTACAAAAAGAGAAAAGTATTTACAATGTCTTCATACAACATTTTATAAATAAATAAATTCTCAAAACAAAATTATTGCTTACAAAATATGCTTTAATTCATTCAAAAAATTTTGTTTTATTATGAATACCTCATTACCTTCTTATAAAAAAGAATATAATTTGGTAAGACTCTTGTCAGGAAAATGATGTTTATTATAATAAAAAAATCAAACAATTTTGAAATGAATGGTAATACCAAATAGCTAAATTATGAAACTAAGCTTGTGCTTTCAGGTAATCTTATTTTTGTCAGTGTGGCACTGATGTTGCCGCTTAAGCCTTGAGATTCCCCCGGAATCCACCATTCTCCAACCGCCACCTGTTCCGCTTACCTGGCAACTTGAAGGGCAATCCGGCCATAAGTGGATCCGGTCCAAAACGTTGTGGCCCAAAGGCAAACGGATGGAATCCCTGGTGCCGAACCTTGGATCGTGGTTCCCTTGGCCCATCCACGGTCACCTTTATGGCCTTCGTGTAGGTTGCAATTTGAATGGGATTCGTCGAGATGACAATCGTCAGGGTGAAACTTTTGCCTGGAAAATATGAGTTAAGGCAATGGTCAAAATCAATACAAATTCCATAACATAAATATTTATATAACATATATACAAAACTGAGGCTTAAGTTTTTCTTTCTTCAATTACACATGCTTAATTGTTGGACAACACACAATTTTAAGATATTTATTTAAAACACTACTATTTATACAATGCTTAAAAAGGTTTTAGTTCCTGATTATGACATTTTAGAGCTGTATTCAAAAATCCAACAGAAAAAATATCAGAATATGCTCTTATTCTCGAATAATAAAATTTTTAAATCCTTAAAAAAATTAATTTATTGTTGAAATGCTCGTAAAACTAATTTCAAAGTCAGTTTGTTTTTTTAAAGATTGTTTGTTACTAAATAATCATTAAAATGGGGTTCGAAGAAATTTAAGAAATAGCTCTTTGTTCTCACCACGATCAAAATATTAAATGTTAATTTTTGGTGACCATTCCAATGCAATTTCAAAGCGGGCACAAATCGCAACGGACTCATACCACCTTTGCTAGCCACCCAGTCTTTTTGGCACTCCCACGGCAGCTGGAAATTATGCTGTGAATTTATAGATTTTCTATGACCCTATGCGTTGCCATGGCCAAAATAGAGTGGCGCTTTGCACTTGCACAACGAAATTAAAGTGCGGAATGTCGAATGGGAATGGCGAAACGGGGCAACGGTAGCGTTTTTCGCGAAAATTAACCCCCGACGGAGTTGTGAAAGCTTCATAAAAACACACACACACAGCAACACACATGCAGACATGCAGATTTGCAGAGAGCGCATAAATGAATGAATGAATGAATGAGCGGAGGATGCCTGGAATCAGAGGTTTATAGGGGTTATATCAGGGGTGAATCGGGTTGGGAATCGGGTTGGGAATCGGTGGAGAATCGGTGGTGAATCGGTGGGGAATCGGTGGAGAATCGGGAACTATATGCACTTCTTTCGCAGCCAATGCAATATTAAGTAGCATGTGGCGACTTTGACATGCCAACTATTGTGGCGATGTCTGGTCCGAGTCTCACATTCCAGATATCCCAGATCCCACATCTCACATCGAAAATCCCTTTCCCTTAACCCTCCACAGACCAACGACCGAAAAACCCACCCCCTAAACGGTGAGCTGCATATTTGAAATATCCATAAAGTGAAACTCCCAGACGCGCGAATTTAAAATTCATTTGCCAAACATTTTGAATGCCAAAATGCTTGAGTTAATCAACAAAAGGTGCAAAATGCAGAGGGGGACTTTTAAGTTTTAAGAGGGGGTTTTTACCAAGAGATGTTGGACATGACGATTGGGTTTTCTTGGGGGAAGCCGATTCATTAAAATGAATAGAGCACCACAATTTAAGGCTATGAGCTAAATTTGCAATAAATACAAAGCAAACTTCTATGCTTATTTAAAAAAAAAGTATATAATAATTTATAAACTCCTATTCATTAAAAGGATGTTATTATTCTGCACCCCATATCACCAACCAAAATGTACGACTGTTTTCATTGAATGCTATTTTAATATCCAGATAAGAATACAACCCACCTACTCTTATCCAAATTCTGCAATAAGAATTCATGATCTGTTAACGAAAAGTGTGTGTAACTTCTGTATGTAAATTTGCCTCGGTCATATGCCCTCATAATCCATTTAAATACTCCCCAACCCTCCATGTAATTCCAAGTCATTTGCAGCTTTCTGGTCTACACCCAAATAAGAGTAGACATAAAAAACAAACAAACTTCTTAGATTAATATTAAATTAAACGAAGCATGCAAAAAACGCAAGAAGGCGGTAATCATTAAGACAAAGGGCAGCAAACAAACTGACGATGTCTGAATTTTCTTCTCGGCCGTAACGGCTGCAATGGAAAAGTGGGGGGGGGAAAAACCCCAGAAACCCACGCAAGAAAACAAATGAACATAAACACAGGCGAAACGAACCAAGAAACCCAACAAAATGAAATGAAACTTTTTTAATTATGCGCCCTCAGCAACAGCACAGCAAAAGCAACAAGCTGGAAAAGCGCTGTGTGGGGTGTGGCTGGGGGGGGGAGTTGGGGGGATTAAAAGTCCAGGGGGGAGGGTGTGTTTTGGGAGGTTTTCCAAGTCAACAAGAAGGAGTAACCAGAGAGGGCTCGCAAAGTGGCTTAAGACAAAAGACTTAAGCGTCGTCTATTCTTGTTTTTTCATTTTTTTTTTTTTTTGGCTCAACTCTACTTGCTTTTGTGTTTTGCCAAATGAGCAAAAATTGCAAATAAATCTGTAGCTGTTAGCCATTTTCCACCCGGTCCCAAGCTCCATTTTCACACATTTTCCGAAAGGGGCGTGGCATCCACAACAACGGCGACAAAGAACTTTTGCCTGCTAATAAGATGAAAAACCATTAAAAGTCGACACAAGTCGTCGCGTCCATTGCAAGTGGAAAATTTTAGTGGCCGGGGGGTCTGGGGAAAATTTTTGGTGGAAAAAAGCGGGGGGTGGGAGGGGGGAGTGGAAAAGCCAGTGGGTGACACTGTGTGCCGGGTTAAAATGTTGTCATTTTCGCAACAAAGCAGAAATTATCACCACTTTGCAAAAGGCGACGACAACGGCGACGGAAAAGGAGTTGGAAAATGCGGAAAAGGGACTGGGAAAATAGGGTGGGGGGTGGTGCTGTACATCGGTGGCGATGTGGACAAAGTCTGCACCCTTTTAACAGGGCCCAACTGTGACATATTAATGTGCGAGTGTGGGAACACAGTGGACACAATTAAACTTGAAATCAAGAATTAAAATGTATTTTTAAGATGGCAGATAAAGTTACCAGAAAAAACTGCAACAAAATTTTAATTTATGATTGTTGGTTAAACTAAACTTATGAATATTTATTACAGCTTAATGAAACTAAATTATTGAAATTAAAATAACAAAAAGCGATTAATTTAAAAAGTCCTACCTACAATCCAATAAAAATATTCACATGAAAATTGATTAATCTATTAAATAATTTGAACAATATCTAAAGCAAACCATGAAGAAAATAACTATATTAAAAATGTCTGCAAAATCTTTTGTGGTTCCCACACAACGTCTTATGAATATTTTAAATTACATTTCCCACGGTGGCACATTTATGTAGACGCGAGTGTGTGTGTGTGCGTGTGCCGGGCGCTAAGTGATTTTAAAACAAAGTTTTTGAAACGTTTAACCTTACACAACAAAAATGTTTCATTTTCTGGCGGAGCAGAGAAGCCAAAGCCTTTGCCTGCATTTTAACTTTCGATGCTGATAATGAAGGCAGGACCAACCCATCCCCTCCCTAATCGCCCCCACACCCCCAAAAAAAGGGGCGTAAAAGGGCGGTGGGTGGTTGTGGGTGTGAGTGTGAGTGGGTGGTTGGACCAGGACAGCAAGGACACCGACAAGGGTTCGTATGCTTAGGCAATTTAATGGCTGCTACTGCTGGCTGCCTTTTGCCATTTGCCTTGTGCCTTGTGCTGTGTTAATGTCGTTAGTAGCATGGCGCCATAATTATAATTTGACATAAGACAAGAAGTCTGAGGTTGACAACAAAATGACATTTTAAATACAGCAGGATGCGAAACAACCCCCAGGAACTGAAAGGACATGCCCCATCCAACCCAATGGCAAGTGCTCGTATTTAGACACTTAACAGATCATAATTTCAACACTTTACCTTAATGCCAGTGAATTTGCTTAATGGCCGGGCTTCATCGTGAATTGTCAAGGGATCATATATCGGCTCCGGAATTCCCTTTCTCTGCACACACACACACACACACACACACACAGGAGCTCAAACTTTTCTTAGAAAAATAGATATCTTGGCATTCCATTTTGGTTACAGAAACTCCGGTCCAGTTCAAAAGTCTCTTTTTCTCGGCAGTTTATTTGCATAAACTCCACTTTCGACGCCCCTGAGGCACTGGGATACAGCTCCTTGCCAGCCATAAATATTCATATGTTTATTTAATAGCAAAAGAGACGGAGTGTGGTAGCAGCTTTCCTTTTCTTTCGTCTTAGCCAAGTTAATACTGTTTCCAGACACTTTTGTGTTTCGTTGAAGTCATTTTTTGAAACTACACATTTTCTCATTTATTGTGCTTACTGTTGAGACGTTTTTACAGTTGTGGCCTATTGAAGTCCTAAACTTGAACCACCGATTTTTGATTTTAAAAGAAAGAACCTTCAAAAAACTGTAATTCAATTTCTAAACTTTAAATATTTATCGATATTTTTAATGCAATTTCTGGTGTGTTTTTTTAAAGGTTACCCAAAAATTGGTTTAAGGTTCCTTAACTCAACCAATCGTATTCATAGTTCCATGAGTTACCTCTTAAATTTGTAGGTCGATTATCTAATAATTTGCATTATAATTTATCATAATATATATAATATATATTATTTCACAAACTCTGATTTAAACATCAGTCACATTACCTTTATCGTGAAAGCTGCTTTAGAGCTTCCTTTCTTGTTTCTCATGTCATTAAAATGTATTTTTGATTTTGATCATTTTTAGTGAGTACATTTTATTGTTCCCCTTGTCTTTGTAACTTTATTATGTTTATTACCGACTGTTGTCTTTCTGGTTTTATCCATTTTCCCCTTAGGCACTTTTTTCTTTCGCGGAATGGGTTGGTTTTTATTTTTTTAAAATAATGAGAGTGGGACACGTTTCAGTTTCACTCGACTTCAGTTTAATAATCATAAATTGTAACCCTTTTTTGGCGCAACTTCTTGACTGCTCTCTCTCTTTATTTTTTGTGTTGACATCCGTTTTTCGTTGTATTCCCGAAGGCGATGGTGGATTGCTGGATTTTCGGCTTTATGTTACATAGCCGGCGGGCGAAATGGCGATGAGAAAACTTTCTCACATGCCGAAGACGACGAAGGAAATTAAATTTCCAGCCAAGTCAGAAATTATATTGGCAATAAATGAAGACACAGCCGGAGAAGAGGAAAACGAGCTGAAAACGAGACTGAG